ATCTTAATCCAGGATAGCGGCAGAGAGATCTAAGGCCAAGAAGTGGGGGAGGGAAGAGGACAGTACAACAGGAGCACATTGATCACCACCGGCCACTCCACAGTGCTGGTGGCAGCTCCATTCGCCGCCCTGGTTCCCCCAGGACTGGCGGGTCTGAGAGGGTTTCACAGGCGGAGCTGGTAGGCCTCTCGGCCAGCATTTAGCTGACTCTGTGCCTCTGTGGCTGGTGAGCCTGAAGCAGCCCCTCCTTCAAGGGCAGTCTCTACCCAAAAGTGCTTCCTAGTTGCTGAGCAAGACCCTAAGAAGGAAAACTTGTTCCACTGGAAGAGGCAAAGGTGCTGGGTTTGTTCGGTGGGAAGAGGGTGTGTGGCCATAGAGTTCAGGGGAGACACTGAGAAAGACTGTCAAGGACAGGTTGGGATGCAGGATGCACCGGGAGATGGGGCCGGAGGACCGCAGGCTGAGTACAGGGCTCCCTGTGCACTGTGACCACTGTCCTGTCCCTCCTCTGGGTACAGCAGTAACCCACGAACTGAGGCAGGGCTGTGGTCCCTCTCCTGATGGGGTGGCTTTTGAGAACTGGCCGCCACTGGCCACTGGAGACTCTGCCACCTTGACAACTCTGCCTACCCCTGGCTGCCTCCAGGGGCCGTGGAACCATTCCAAAGGGTACAGAGGCTGTCTGCATCTCTATGCTACACCCCAAATCTGTCCCCAAGTACTTTCTACCATGGGGAACTTGCTTCTTAACTCTACTACTTGGGGCCAAAGGCAACCAATGCAGTCTCTTCCTCAAGACAGTAACGGTGCAGTTGGCACGTCTGTCCATTTCCTGTCTGGCCAGCAGCCTCCTCGATGGAAGTGGGGGGACCTAGTCCCCACTCTGGGACAGCTCTGGGGCAGGCAGGCTGGCCCCCACCTCCCGTCACAGCCCATCCGGGCAGCAGTGAGCATCCTGTCCGGCTGACCCACGGTCCAGGCCATGACCCGAGTAACAAAATCTGTCTGAGATTCAGTGGTCTCTCCCTTGGAAAATGACAACAGATGAGTACTGAGGGCGTGAAAACTGACGTGGAGAAGGCATGTCAGCAGTGAGGGGCCTTTCCCGATGGATCGGGACAGCTGAAGTGATAGCAAAAGCTGGGGGTAGGGAACAGAGGTGCAGGGGTGGCACCCGGGGAAAAGGCTGAGTTAGCCCGTGGAGCCCGCTCCCAGTCCTCCCGCCGGCCCGCCCCAGCCACCCAGCCCTGTCGGCGGCCCTGCTACACACAGTGGCTGTGGATCTTCCCAAAACACGAGGCAGACGTGTCACTCTCCTGTTGAAAACCCTCCAGGGAATTCCTCACATTTAGAATAAAACCCAACCTCCTTCCGGGGATCTTCCCAGGTGGTCCTTGACCTGATGCCCACCACTCACAGCCCGCCGTCTGCACCTCGGCACTGGCCACCCCGCCTCCTTCCAGCTGACCCCTCGCTGTGGTCCTCGCTGTGCCTTCACTGGGAGATGCTTTCGGAGCGGCTCATCTTCAGCTGTGGCTCGGATGGAGCCCTGGGGGAGCCTTGGCAGCCACCCTCCTGAGAGTGACTCTTCCCCAGACATTTCCACCTCATTCCACTCTTTCCTGTCCTCACACGCTTGTTTATTTGCTTGCTTGCTGGCTTCGGTCCTTGGCCTGTCCACCACGCCCCATGCATGCGGGCTCCAGGAGAGCAGGCCTGGCCTGCTTCGCTCACTGCCATGACCCAGTGCCCACAAGTGTCCTAAACGCAGTGGGTGCTCTGCAAGTGGTCACAGCGCGAACGAAGGGCTGAAGGAGCCAGGAGCGGAGAGCCCGCAGTCTCCGGCCTCTGCCCGCCACTGGCTGCAGCGGTCGTGTGTTCACTGACGCGTCCTCTGTGCCCGCGCTGCTTCAAACGCTCGCCGACATGGGCTCACCCAACCTCATTGCCTCCCCTGCGAGGCAGGCGACATCATCAGCCCCGCTGACACCTGAGAAGACAGGCACTGAGAGGTTTAGCAACTAGTAAGTGACGCAGCCAAGGCTTTGAACTGTGCTCTTAACCACTTCTCTGGGCCTGTCACCTGCGGCCGAGGACTCCCACCTGAAGCACGAGCAGAACCCCCACTGATGGATCACCTATGACACTCTGTGAGCACGTCCTTCCCAGCAGCCCTGGGAGGTTTCACTGATGATGAGCCCAAAGCTCAGAGAGGCCACACTGCCAGCTCCAAGGCACACACTAGTAAGGACTCTGTCTGACTCCAAAGCCCTCGCCTTCTACTCCCCAGGGGTCACAGGTTCAACTATCCCAAACAGCCAGCTGGGAAATGGAACGACGTAAGAGAAACAGGAGCAGAGCACATAACAAAATGCAACGACCACTGGCCTCAGCTCTGGGACCCTGAAGGGAGAGGTGGGGACCGCAGCAAACTGCTGGCTTGTGCCCTGGGAACCAGGGAGGCTGCTCCTGGGCGCCCTCTAGTGGCTGCCTGATGGGAGGGCGGCCTAGCCTGGGGGCCAGGTCTGTCCCTTTCTCTAGAGGAGCAGGGATAGAGCTTCTTGTAAATTATGTAAAATCTTTTGAATTTAAATGTTAGCAAGTGATTCTTTTTAAATTTGTGAGTTCAAAAAACATGATCTGGGGGCAAGTTTGGCCCACAGGCTCACGTTGTTATCTTTGGAGCCCACCAGGCGGGTCCTCCGTGTTGGAAAACAGCGGCCACATCTTCCTCCCTGGTCAGCAGTTCCCATGTCCTCACAGGAGGACCTTCCAGGGCAGGAGCAGAGCCTTGATTTTTTTTAACCTCAGAGCCCCGCCCAGTGCCTGGCCCGTGGTAATAAATGTGTGTTAAATTAGTGGATAATTTCTTTCATGACACGGCTCCTGGTCCACTCACCACTGCTGCACGCACCCTGTCAGTTTATACTGAGGGGCGGCCCCAAAGCACTGTGTGGGAGTGGAGCAGAGCTGATCTGGTCAGTGGGGGGGCTGGCCCCAGCACCCATTCCACTCTCCTAAGACGCCTTCCTGTCCGCTGAGGCGGGAAGCCAGACACTGCGTTTCCCCGGACTCCCTCTCAGCCAGGGTTCGGGTGACTCAGACGGCCTCACACAAGGCAGGGACAGCAGAAGTGAGGCGGACGCTGTTTCTGAGTCCCGCACTGTGGCAGAGGCGATGGGTTTTCACAATGCCCCACCTTGGCTACACAGGGTCTTCCTTCACGTGCTGCTCTAGCAAGCACAGCATCCCTCTGAGGCCAGCAGCTGTGGCGGTGGCTTCTTCATTCCTGGGTGGAACCTAGGGTGACACATTCCTGATGCTGACCACCTTCCCGACTGTGTCCTAGGCAGTAGCTTTTCTGGCAGGCCCCTGCTAAGATGCTGGGTGCCATTCCTGGAGACGCAGCTCAGAGCCCACCCTCTGCCAGCCCAAGGATTCTGTAAGCACCCGCTTTTCTGCGTTACATTCGGTTCTGATTAAAATAGTCTGAGTGGTCTCTATTGTTAGGCACTGGCTGACCCCTGACTGATACGGTCCAGAAGGACAATTACAGTGCTCACGGCCTCAGGAAGCCAGGAAATTAGCCATGATTAGGCCCTGTGAAGTGTGAGACCACAGGGAGAGACAGAGGAGGGATGCTAATTAATCTTAGGCCAAGTCTTTTAAATTGCACAGATTCAGGGGCAGCCATCAAGTCACAGTTGCAAATATGGCTCCTGATAATAGAAGGCACTCAGAACAACTAGAAGGAGGGTCTGAAGCCTAGAAGTGGAGAAAGGCCTTATTAATGAGAAATTAAAATTCATTGCTGGGGACAAAGGAGGCCTCCAGGCTCTGCTGCAGGCCTTGCTCTTGGCAGTAGAGCTAACTAGCAGGAACACCCTCCCCCATTGATCAGAGACCCACAAGAGTCTGCAGAGACCTGGAGGACCACTGGATTAGGAGTCACAGGTCTAAGGTTGAAACCTCAGCCTACCCTCCTCTCTTAGTAGCTGTGTGACTCTGAGCAAGTCACTTCACCTCTCTGGGCCTCAGTTTCTTCAGTGACACAACGAGGACTTACAGAGCTACAGAGTTATTGCAAAGATGCGCCAATAAAGTGTATGTAAGAATTTACTTGTACACCCATACACATGATACAGTGGAAAATGTTATAAGCAGTACTTCCCAATCTTGGTGAGCACAGGATTAAAAAGTATATAAATACCACTGCTTAAGCCTCCCCTCAGACCAAATAAGCCAGAATCTCTGGGGGTGGGGCTTGAGCATCAATATTTAAAAACTCTAGGTGGTGTGAACAGGCAGTGGGGTTGTGACATACAGGTCCTTGATAAGGTGTGAGAGACTGCAAGGTGAGGTATGAGGGCCATATGGGGCCTCAAGTTTGGGGCCAAAGATCTGGATTTATGTCTTGATCCTGTTACTTCTTGGTGGTTGACCTTGGAAAGCTCACTTAACTTTTCTGAGCCTTGGTCTCCTCAGCTCCCTTAAAAGAAAAAGGACATTGGAACTTACCCTATAGGTCTCCTGTGAGGGCAAAGCAAAGAATCACATGGGAGCTGAGACCACGCCTGGTACCCAGTAGGGGCTCAAAAATGCAAGCTGCTGGCGGAAGCAGCCTCAGCAGCACCCAAGTGGCATCTCAGGTCTGTGGGGCAGATGCTGCCTTACCCACCCACTGCATCCCTGACATCTAAGACTGTGCCTGACACATCGTAGGTGCTCCGTAAAAAACAGCGATATGAATGAGTCGTTATGATGGGACTGTGAGTCCGATCTGTGATATTTCAGAAGGGAGGACCATGTCGAGAGAGGCTGGAGGATCCCATGGTCTCCTCCACTCTCCAGAGGCCAGTGCCACATGCAGAGGGCACCACTGCAGTGCCCAGCCCCCCTGCCCACTGCCCACGGAGATTCTGAACGCCCTGATTATGTTTCTGTTCCCGCAATAATCCCGATCCTTATTCTCAAGTGGGAGCTGGGGCCATGGTCTCGACCTGGTGCCATCCGCGGCGCTGGGCTTTGCTGGGGGCTGTCCGTGAATCGCGTCTTAAAGCTTCTTCAGCTTCTCGAAACAGGGTTCTTCGTCCGCAATCTGCACCAGAGATGAGGGAGGAGACTTGGTGAGGCACCGATGGCAGGTTCACACTGATGGCAGCTGCGTAACTTACATTTAAATCACGTCAGTGTGCCCACAATCCTACATGTGGAGTTATCCACTGCAGCACCATTTGTAGCAGCAAAGCATTAGAAAACAAGCTAAATGCCCAGCAAAAATGGAATGACAGTAACATGTGTAATACTGTACAGCCAGATGGAGCAGGTCTATATAAAAAGGAACCATCTCCACGGTCTACAAGCAGGGTGCAGGAAGTGTGCACAACAGGCCAGCAGTAGTGGGAGAGAGGGGGGAGAGGGGAGATGTGTTGAATGAGTGAACATACTTGGGCTGGTGGCCCAAGTACAGACTCCTGTTATCTGCCCTCCCTGAAACCTGGACTGGAAAGGCCTGCTTCCCCGAAGTAGCAGCAGCCAGCCAGACTCCTCCTCCCGGAAGCTAGGGAAGTTGGCCCATTTCCTCTTTGCCCTGGGGACTGGGAAGCTCATGTTACAAGCTGAACTGCAACACTCCCAGGGAAGGTTTTGGGACATCCTTTCACCTTTCATCACCTTGTTTTGACTTTCACTGTCTATTACTGGCTTGGGATTTTACCATACCTGTGGTAAGAACACAAATCAAGATTATTGTGTGCTAGAAACTTTACATTTCTTATGCCATTTAACCTTCCTGGCAAGCCTGCAAGGTGGGCATAATGATTCCCATTTTACAGAAGAAGAAACTAAGGGTCAGAGAGGATCCAACTGCCAGAGGTCTCAGAGCTAGACAGTGGCAGGACAGAGTTCAAACCCAGCTCTGCCTCATTCTAACTCCCCTCCTTGTAACTCGATAGCACACTGGTCTCTCAGGCAAAGCAGCCTGCTTTGAAGGGCACCCTGGCACCCTCAGCATAGGCACCCCCATTAGTCCCATTTTAAAGATGAAGAAACAAAGGCACAGAAGACAAAACGGCTCTCCCAAAGAAATGCAGCCACGTGGGACCTGCCTCCACGTGCACTGCCACGTCCATCATTCAACCACCAAATCATGTGTGGAGCCTTTGTTGGGCCACCACGGAGTTGGCTGCGCTCTATTCCTTCACAGACTTTCTGTGCTTTTATCATGGACATGTGACACTCGTTTAAAGTATGCAGGATGTGGAGTAACTAATTCAAAAATGAACAGTGGAGCCCTGGTCAGTTTGGCTCAGCATCGGCCTGAGGTCCAGAGAGACCCAGGTTCAGTTCTCACCAAGGGCACGTACCTCGGTTGCAGTTTGTCCCTGGCCCTGGTTGGTCGTGAGGGTGGCAGCCACTTGATGTGTCCCTTTCATGTCAATGTTTCTCTCTCTCTCTCTTCCTCTCTCTCCCTCCCTCTCTATCAGAACAAAAAATAGAAAAATGTCCTCTGGTAAGGATGAAAAAAAAAAGAACAGTGGAATCAAATCAGCTTAGGTCCCGAAGACAAGCCATTTCGAGTGAAAATTAGGTATAGTCAAAATCATCTTAGACATTTTCTTAAATTACAGGCACCTGAGAACAAGGAAATGTAAAAGCCAGGAATTTTCTGCTCTAGCCACCTTTGCCCTGGGGTAGTGGAGGCCAAGACTAGTTTGAAAAGAAATAAAGCCCTGGCCTGTTTTGCTCTGTGGTTAGAGCATTGGTCTGCGGACCAGAGAGTCCCGGGTTCGGTTCCCACTAAGGGTGCGTACCTCGGTTGCAGTTTATCCCCGGCAGCCACTTGATGTGTCTCTCTCACATCAATGTTTCTCTCTCTTCCTCCCTCTCTCCCTCCCACGCTATCTGAAGATAAATGCAAAAATGTCCTCGGGTGAGGATAAAAAAACAAAAAGGATAGTTAATTTGTACAGGATAACCAGTTATTTGCATGTTCCTAGTTACTAACAGAACTGCAGCTGGCCTGGACGGGCCTGTGCTCACCATGTGTCCCCTCGGCGAGCGAGGCACTTCTGGAGGAGATGGCGTGGACGGCTCTCCGTGGCGCCGCCTTCAGCTCCGAGTTGGCCCCATTGACATAGACAGAGAAGCCCTGCTCCAAGTGCTCTAGTCTCAATTGCAGGGGGTCTTTGGTTTTCAAATGCTTTAATATCCTGGAAGAGAAATGACCGCTTGATCCCCAGTACATGAGCCTGAGCCACCGCCCACCCCCACGCAGGGACAGAATCGCTGCTCTGATCATCAGAGACTGGGTGGCGGGCCCCCAGCTGCTCGCCTACAAACAGCCTCTAAGAAGCCCATTACACACAGAGGGAAGCAGCCAGGGGAAGACTGTTTCGGGCCCTGCAGGGGTGCTTCTGATTTCAGTCTGGGGCTCAAACGTGCGCTCATTAGCAACAAACGAAGGCACACGTCCTTGCTCCACGTGGCTGAGACAGAAAGCAGGCGTGTACACTGCTACCACACAGCCTGGGCCTCCAGGGACAGCCCCAGCGCCGTCATCGCGACTGTGTGGACAGAGGCACTTGGTTCAGAGTGTAAGCAAGCCATAGTTTAGGATATAAGCCTTTGTGAGAGAAATTTCACATCACACACCAACAAATCAGAAACCCTTCGGCAGACCAGGCAGACTGATGTTTTGCTTCAGTAAATAAATGTGCTCTCAAATACTCACCCTGATATCTCCACTGTCATCATTTTATATTCTGACGCAGTTAAAAATACACCAGTGCAGGCTTTTGTTTAAGATTAATGATGTGATCATCACACTCATAGGCTGAAGGGTCTTGGCCCGAGCACGGCCGGGTCTCCAGGTCAGCCTTCTCCAAAGCCCAGCTCACCCCAGGGTCAGTCCTTTCCCCACTCATTGCCACAGACGGTGTGCAGTGTCCCCTCTCCAGAGCTGCTCCCGTGTGACGCCAAAGCCATCAGTATCATTACAAACACCTTCCTGTGTACCCCATATCCATATCCACCAGACTTACTTCCGCACAAGAAGAAATACAGACAACCAACCAACATGGCAGCAGGATGCATCCTCTTTCCTCAGTGATTAGATAACTTCCTCCCAAATCAGTGAAATGTATTTTAGAAAATAACAGTAATCACATACAGGGTGTACCATAGGCTGACCTCTGCTCTAAACGCTTTACATCAACAGTCAAGCTGCATTATTCTTGGTGGCTCCATGCAACGTTGCTGCAGACACTGCACTAGAGAACGGTGAGCCACAGCTCCTAGGGGAAACACAGGATTCGGTTCCTGCGGGCCTCTGGCCCACGTTTTCACCAGCTGATCAATACATAACCTTGGTGTATGTGTGTTTCTGCAGAAAGGCACCTTAATTTAATATAGAGTTCATTAATGAACACTGAACTCATGGCCAGCAGCACTCTAACTCACGCCTGAATAAAGCTTACCTAACAGGTGTATTTCCTCTGTAAGAAACATCACAGCCTTCTCACACTTAGCAACACCACAGAGCACTTCAGCGCTATGCCTGTGGCCCGTTCAAACAGCAGGATCGCCAACAAAAAGCACAAGAATGCGAAAAACATGGTCTTCAGTATGCCTCGGAAAGGATCCTGTTTACGTGTGGGTGCTGACACCAGACAGCAGTGTTGCCTTCTTCTACCCCTCCGCTGAGAATGTGCCCGTGTCAGGCAACTAAAAATTTTTGCCGCTCTGCAAATGTCTGTGAATGACTATGAAAACGCTGAAAGTATTGATTTTGGAGTTGCAAATAAATTCTAGTGAGCAGATGAATTCACAAATATGGAATACTGAATACTGTGAGCAATGCAGATGGGCATAACCATCCACGGGGTAACTGCATTTATTATCCCCATTTACTAGATAAGGAAACTGAGGCACAGAGAAGATAAGTGACTGGCCCAAGGTCACACAGCTAGTATGGTTGCGGGACTAGAGTGCAAACTTAAGCAATTTGGCTCCAGAGCCTTCACCACAACAAATTCTCGAGCAAGTGAAATGATACTGAAACTGGCAAACTTGGACTTCAGTGATAACTCACAGAACCTTCTCAGAAGTAATATAAAAATGCCATATGTTTGGTCTTTGTTCAGTGAGTACATTCAGGCGAAGTGTTCCTGATCAGTTATAACCGAGCCCTGAAAGCAAGCTGGATGTCCAGCAGCAGGAAAGCGGAACCTGGGCTCTCACGTGGCCACTCTAATTAGGAAGAATCTGTCAAATATGGGGAGTAGTTTGGGATCTGTTAACGGGGGGTGACAATGGCAGAATAAAATGGTACATGCACTGGCTCAGCAGTTAGTGTTGCCCTGTGGACCAGAGGGTCGTGGGTTCGATTCCTGGTCAAGGGCACATACCTGGGTTGCGAGTTCAATCCCTGGCCCTGGTCAGGGTCGTACGGGAAGCAACCGATCAGTGTCTCTCTCACACTGATGTCTCTCTCTCTCTCTCTCTCTCTCTCTTCCCCCCTCCCTCCCTCCCTCCTTTCTTCCTCTCTTCTACTCTATCTAAAATTCAATGGGAAAATATCCTCAGGTGAGGATTAACAACAACAAAATGGTACATATGTGGTTAAGTGCAAAGTTGGAACAAAGTGTGTTTGTGGACCCGGAATGAAAGGGGATAAATGTAAAAATTAAATCAGTTGTTAAGGCAGGGTGGTGGCATTATGGGTGATTTCTTTGTTTTTAAATGTTTCTTGAGCTGCTGCTACATCCATCTTCTCAACCACCGTGGCAGGAACATTCATTACAGACTGCTTATCTGTTGCCAGTCTCGGAAGCCTGGGAGATGCCTGGCTGTGGGGCAACAACACCGAACAGAAGGAAAACACAAGTAACTAAGAGACAATTTCCAAACACAGCAATAGCCGCACTTGCTGGAGCAAACACCCACAGGGCTCCCTCGGAGGGCACCAGCAGCCAGGCAGAGGACGCAGGGAACCCGTGGCCAGGGAGGCCCCAGCGTGAGGGGGGTAGGAACCTGGCCGCCTGGCAGAGAGTGCCTGCCTCAACTTCCCTCTGGAGACAGCCCTGTCTCCTGATGCGACCGTAATGGCTACGACGCATCCCATTCCCCAGGATCGGGCTGGCCTCCACGTGGGCCTCTCTTTAAGCAGGATGACTTATGAAAACGTGGATTTATGAAGCTGATAAATGAGGAGATGATTATTCAAACTGTGAAAGGAATCACGAAAGGAACTCCTCCGCTGCAGCTGAGCACATCAGTAATATTCACATGGATCAAAGGAAAATGGCTTTAACAACATCAACAGCTGCCCCAGGCGAAGGGGACTGGAAAGGCAGACTGAGTCCTGCCGAGGGGAAGGGGCAGCCGCTGCCCCTGCTGCCAGTCACTCTGCCTTCTTAGGTTTGGTTTGTCTCCTGGCAGGTGCCCATCTTCACAGCACAGGATCTGAGGGCCTTACTCTCCCACCACCAGACCCGAGCCCCGGGCCTGGGGTCCCGCTGAGTACGGGAACCGGAGGAACGCTCTCCAGACCTTTTCTGGAACAAGTGGCCCCAGGAGCTCTGGGTCTAGCGAGGAGAGGAGGTGCGGGTGCTTCCTAGCAGCCACCGTGTACCCACGCGCAGCGCAGGCATCATTTCCATTTCAGCCCATGCAGGAGACGGAGTAGAGACAAGGTGTCAGGAGGGAGTGACAGGGAACATGACACGCTTGGCAGCAGGGACCCGGTGTGAGGGCTCAGCCGAGCTCCGAGTGGGCAGTGCACTAGCTGGGACGGCGCGGACTGGGCTCTCCGGTCTCCGAGCGCCGAGGCTGCTGAGAACTGGCCACATGGCTCCCCCCCGACCTCAGTTACCCGAAGGGTCCACTGAGGGTTCGCTGAGCATCAGGCATTCAAGGACTACCTGGATGTCGGCTCAGGGGAAGGCATGTCTAACAGTAAAATGATGAAGATGCTGAAGACGTCACGCTTGGGTGGTGGGCTTACCATAGACCTTCAAGTACCTCGTTTCGCTCCATCCTTCCTGGCCCTGGGATTTAAGTCCTCCCATTGGCCTGTTCACAGATGAACGTGCCCAAGGTCAGAGAGTCCAGAGAGCAGCCAGGACTTATCTCCCGTCTGCAAGGCTCCAGAGCTGTCTCCCAGCCGCCCATTAAGCTGTTTCTTGTCTCTACCAGGTTTCACGCCACAGGGGCTCTGAGCAAGGAGGGTTCGGAGGAGGAGCAGTGGCTCCCAGCGAGGGGTGACTGGGGTGGTGGCGCTGGAGGCCAGCCTTGAAGCATGGAGAAGCAGAGAGCAAATGGTCAAGAAGCCGGCCGTTCCTTCCAGAACCTGGGTGGCCTGCGGGCTCTGGTACTGGTTCTCAAGGATGTCCCTGCCCAGTGCGTGTGGATAGAGGGACCAGGTGTGGAGGACGAAGGTCTGTAATGGGGGCTCTGCCATCTCCCCAGTTGTGTGACCTGAGGCAAGTCCCTCGGCTTCCTCTTCTGTAAACCGAGACTAAGAATGCCTCCCCCTCTGGGTTGTCATGGGGATGGAATGGGAGACCAGGCTGCAGCTCCAGCCCAGAGACCGCCCGTGAGCAGCCTCCACGGCATGCTGGCTCTCCCCTTCCTCCTTTCCGCCTGCATCTCCTCGAGGCAATGGGTTCATCTCGCACACGGGCAGGTTTTCCTATAAGTTTCCTCGAAGACCTTTTCCAAAAAGCGTCTACTACTCCTGCTGGACTCCTGGCCCTGGCCCAATCTCCACAATTGAGAGTGTACGTTCCAGTCCCTCCTCACACCTCAGCCCTCTGGTCGCTCTGCTCTTCCGTGAGTCCTGTTGGGCATGACTACGTCTTCCAGGGAGGCGAGTGACCAGAACCACCACCCGTCCTCTGGGAGGGCTGGCAGGTGAGCAGGGCTGCCACGTCTCCCCAGCCTTCCCTGGGCCTCTCCTGGAGCACAGGATGGCTTTCTGCTTCTGGCACAGTTACAGTGGCCTGGCGCTCACTTGCCAAGGCCCGGGGAGTTCCTCAGGGCCAGGGCTGTGCGGCAGACACCTGTGCTTCTGCCTGCCCTGCACCTCTGCCCCATCTCCAATCACAGCTCTCCACAGTCCCCTCTTCCTCCGTAGATCCCTGCTCAAACCACCCCTCACTCCACCCCAGCTCAACAGGTGGCCAAGCAGTGGCCATGCCACCTCCCCAGGCAAAGGGGGTGAAAATGGGGCCCCAGCCTGACCAGCGGGAGCCCTTATCAGCACTTCTGTGGAACTATTAGGAAGAAAGCTCTCTCCCTCTTGAGGTAGGATGTAGACGGGGTTTCCAGCGCCGCCCCGAGGGAAGCACCGCCAGAGATGACTCCTGAGAACGCCCCCGGTGACCACTGCACACCCCTTCTCAAGTCACAAGGCCGCCCAGACAGCAGCCTGGGTCTTCGTCTCCCTTTACGCACAGTGTAAGCTCAGAGGCCGGGTCCCTACCCAGTCAGATGACTAGATTTCCAAGTAAACTGCAGTTTATTCCCGCAAAGTCCCTCCGTAATGGACTCAGGGCCACTGGCTACCCTGGCGGGTTTCTCTTCTCCTGATTATCAGTGACAATGTCAAACAAAACATATTGAGAAAGTACAGCCCAGCTCCTCCACTTCCTGGTTACGTGACTTGGGCATACTGTACACTGCTTTGGGTCTCCACTTCCTTGTCTTAAGATGGGTACAAGAACCATTTCCGCTTCATCGGGTAGGTAGTGTGCAGGTAAAATGAAATGATGCTGGGGGCGAGGCGCCTGGCAAGAGGCTGGCACTCCAGAAAAGAAGCCTTTATTTATTTTTTTATCCTCACCCAAGGACATTTTTCCATTTTTTGTTCAGATAGAGAGGGAGGGAGAGAGAGGAAGAGAGAGAAAGCGAAACATCGACGTGAAAGGGACACATCGAGTGGCTGCCACCTGCACGACCAACCAGGGCCGGGGACAAACTGCAACTGAGGTACGTGCCCTTAGCGGGAACTGAACCCGGGTCTCTCGGGACCGCAGGCCGATGCTCTAACCGCTGAGCCAAACCGGCCAGGGCAAAGGTGACTTTAAAATACCACCTGATGACAGCTCAGGTGCACTCCTCTCTACATATGTCTCCACTTGGAGGTGTTTCTTTTTAGTTCCACCTTCTAATGTCCTGTCATCAAGCCAGCTCCCTCTTGGTGACAATACCTCCGCCCCCCGCCCCAAACTGTATGGCAGCTCAGGTTTGATCTGTTTTTTAATTGCCTCTGTGCTGCAACCTTGTCACTGGATACTCTCCTACACGCTGTATCGGCTGGTACCTCTTTGATCATGCACTTATTGATCCCCAATTAATAAGGTGCAATTTGCTCACATGACACTCTCCTCCCAGAGAAATCACAGGTATTTGATTAAATAATCACCCAGGTGTCCGGGGGCACCATCCAGCCTGTCAGAAACCAAATAAAACCAATCTGCTCCATGGCATTCGTGATGGTAAAACACCCACACTGAGCTAATGAGCACCAGCTCCCACTCCTCTGGCTGGAGGTGGTCCGGGGCTGGAGGAAGATGGGCTCAGAGGACAGTGCCTTCAGCAAAGCAGGCGCTTCTGGCTGGTCCTGGGGCGCTTCCAGTTCAGAGGTTCTCCAATGGGGAGGTAAGGCCTCACCAAGGGCATCTGGAAATGTGGACAGGTGCTGTTGTCATAGATACTGGAGGTCTTAGTGGAATTTAGGAAAGGCGCCAGTGGGCAGGAAACTAAACTCCTGCAACACGTGGGACTATCTTGCACATAAAAACCTGTCCCATGCGACATGTCACCAGGACCCCAAGTGACAAGCACCAGGAGTCCAGCCAGTCAGAGAAGGGCTGACTCCACGTCCAGGATAACAACCCCTACCCTATCTGGCCCGCAGGACGCCAAGTTCATTTCCACAACACAAAGGCCCAAATTAGCACTCAATCCTCCCCTCCGGCAGGTCTACATTTGTTTGGTGCTTTCATTGGAATCCATTACTAACATTTTTTTTTTTTTTTTTTTTGTTCAGGTAGAGTGGGAGGGAGAGAGAGGAAGAGAGAGAGAGAAACATCGACGTGAAAGGAACACATCGAGTGGCTGCCACCCGCACAACCGACCAGGGCCGGGGACAAACTGCAACCGAGGTACATGCCCTTAGCGGGAACCGAACCCGGGTCTCTCAGGACCGCAGGCCGACACTCTAACCGCTGAACCAAACCGGCCAGGGCTCCATTACTAACATTTTAAAATACATGCGGTTTCACAACACAAACCCAGGTTTCCAGCTTCTCTGGCAACCTTGGAGGCCACGGACCCTGGGCCTGTGTTCCCATAACAACTGTTCTGAGCCGAGCAGCTTGCACGTGAAGATGCCGGTGCCCACTCGCCTCACTGAGCAGCCTCGAGTGCCGCCTGGCCCCTCCCAGCTGAGAGCCCGGCCCCAGACCTGAAGTCAAACCAGTGAACTGACAGTGAACTTCCGCAGCCCTGCAAACTTGCGCAGCACTGAGAACATGGCACGATGCCTCTTTCAAACCAGACCACACTGCTTTGACCGAGGTCACTAAACACTGCGTCCATCTACTGCTGGCTTTTGCAAGAACCAGCACTCCAGAGTCAAAATCCACACTGACTTAACTTTAAATGACATGTGGACCAACCTCAAACACAATGTAAAATGACTCCACCTTTACATAACAAGGCCTGATTAGGGGCTCAGATTTCCAAGGGCCAGCACAGCCTGGAAGATCACAGACTGGCTCCTAAGGCCACAAATACATAGGCCCTGCCAAGTTCTAGCTTTTCATGACAAACACACCTCCTCCCAGAACAGAAACCGGGAGGCAAGAGGCGGCACCTACATGTTGAGCAGTTTGCTACAGCTCAATCAAAAGCTGCAATTAAATCAGCAAGTGGAGAAACAAGAGCTGGCACTGCAGATAATATTCCCAGCCTCTGAACGGAGGTGACTGCATCCTATTCCTATGTGAACCAGGGCCTGCACGCTGTTAATACATTTAAATAGGGTTTTTATTAAGGGCTACACGCGAGCGGCTTTGTCTTACCGGTTCCTCTGCTGGAGCAATATTAAATACTCATCATGTTTCTCATCAAAGTCTGTCACCATGTCCTTAGTGTAACCCTGAAATGAAGAAACAGAGCAGTGTGATGCCGGAAAGCAGCGGAGCACTTACTGGGCCAGGCGAAGCACACACAGCACAGGAGGCAGAGGCAGAGGCTGACCTTGACGCAGGCTGGCTCCCCAGGCGCATCACTCTGGAGCCCCAGATCCCCAGAGATTGTCTGATGTCCCAGTGGGTCTTGAACACACACAACTAATGATCTACAAAATGGAGAAGGTCGATTTCCCCAGCGACTCTGTTCATTCCTCCCATGCTCTAGAAAACCGAGGGCCTGGCCAAGATTTGGGCTTCACTCTTTTCTCCCACTCATTAACTTTTCTCAATTGTTATAACCAGATGCAGCCCAAATCCGTTGTTTAAGAGGGGATCTCATTTTTCTCTTACCACTGCAAGAGAAATGCATGCTTACGCTAAACAACAAGTCATTACAAAAATATATGACCCAGAGAGTGAAGGTCCCTGTAGAGCAGATATTTTGGGGGCTGCACCTGTCCTTTCGGCAAAAGAGCTCTGGATTCCCTTCGGGGAACCATCCAGCCCCTTCTCTCAGTTCACTGGCCCTTGAAAGCTCCTGTGGTCTCCTCTAGTTAACATGACCTTGGCCTTGGCCTCGCCAATCAACACCAATCAACCAATCAACATAGTGCTTCCCCAGCCACAATGATTCACTGGTCTAGGTTTGGGCCATGACCCAAGCTGGGCCCCTGAATGACAGCCCTGGGCCTTGCTGATACTTTTGGAGAAATGCTGCTCTCTCTCCACTGCGGTGCTGAACGATGAGACGCAGGTCTGGAACTGCCGAGAGCGAAGTCCCTCAAGAGGACGGCAGGTCTGAGAGATGGAGAGAGATTCTTAATGACATCATTCGAGCTCCAGGGCCCACCCATGCTTGAAGAAGCATCTAGACAATTTACTTATTGTTTTACAGGTTTCAGCTGAGTTTCTGTCATTTGCAGCCCAAAGAATTATGTCAAAAATCATAATCTGACCATATAATTTTTTACAGGGATAACTAATGAAACTACATATATTTAAAGTGGCATATGTATGTACTAGTAAAATCCCCATTGTAATGTGATATATATTCCTCTAGATGTTTTCCTTTGTTTATAATATATACATATACATATTTATAAATACACACATCCTTTTAAACAAAAATAGTATCACACCATAAACAATGCTTTGTAATTTTCTATGTTCCTTAAATAACTTTTTGCCAAGGAATGGTTTAAAGAGACAATATCAACTTGGTTCTAGTCACAAATTACAGGGATTAAGTTTCACACGGCAAGTAAGACATCCGTAATAAAAAATAAAAATGCAATTTGTGTGAAAATCCAAATGATTAACACGAGGAGAGGAAAACAATAGCATCTCCACGGTTCTCTCCTTAACTTGTCAAAATCTGGCTTAACCCCATTATTGTGCTAGAACCCGAGGACGACCCAAACCTCCTTCCTCAAATAGAACAGCTCTTCCCTTCCTCATCCTAGTCAGCTGCTCCGGGCATGGGGAGCCGCGGACCTCCCAGCCTGCCCAGGTTCTCCTCCTCCACGTCCGGAGTGCTGAGCGAGCCTCCTCTCCCTCTCCGCTACCCTGCCTCCTTCGGCCTCCGATGGGGATGGCCATTGTCTCTGTCCATCTTCCCTCTGTCTTTGCTTCTCTTTCTGATGACAAGGAAATGGGGTCCCTGGCGGGGTAACCCAGAGAATCACTCCAAAGCCAGGGCTGAAGAGAGCTGGCTGCAGAACCTGGGTCTGGGGAGGAGGCTCAGTTCTTTCCAGAATAAGGTGTGTGACGGGACAGTGTATGCGCATTTCCATACACACGATTCTCCTTTGATCTTCACAGCAGCCCTCGAAGTAGTTATTATTACCCCATTTAAGATACAAGGAGATCCACCCTATGCATCTTTCAGGAATTGGATCCTCCTCCAAGGCAATTTACATAACCATTTTGAAATATTTAAATGACCACTGATATATTATAGTATGGAACGGAGCATTCTATGACATTTTTAGATGAAATATGAGACTTCAAAAAGCTCTCAGCTTGTGGTGGACTACCCTGGGCCTTCACCTCATCCCCTCCAGGAATGCATTTATCCACCTCTGCCAAAGAAAGATGTCCTCAGAAAGACTTGAAGAGCAAAAGCGTACATCCAGGCAAACTTTTCACCAGCCTGCGCCTCTCAAATGCTAATGTGCGGGCGAGTCACCTGGGGATCATGCTGAAGTGCAGGCTCTGATTCAGTTGGACTGGGGGTAGGGACATTTCTAACAAGCTCCCAGGCAAAGCCCATGGGTCACACTCTGAGTGACAAGGCCCTAGACTGGTCCTCCTTATTCCCCACTATTCATAATACACCCACCTCTAACAGGATGTCTTTGAACTTGAGCTGGGAAGCACTCTGCTTGGAGTCCAGCCTGGCTCCAAGTCCCAACACTGCCACTAGTGTCCTCAGCTGTGAAAAGGAGGTAGTGACGGCCTGTCTGGGCGGACTTCCCTGCCCTCCTGGGGTGAACGTGGACTGCATGCGGTAACAGTGGGAAGGACTTACACAGTACCTGCCCCCTAGAAAGCTCTCAATGAACGCTGTTAATTCACATTTACAGATTCCCATTATCTAAATGGCACTATCCTAGCCCCTCACCACACCCACCCACGCTCAGTCCTACCCTAATGCCTTAATCATTTTTCCAGAAATCCACTCCAACCCCCAGCTCCCCAAGGCCCAGCTCAGTGTCCGAGTCTCAATGAAGCCTTCCCCTGACATCCTCAACCCCACTCACTCAGTTCATTCTGAAACCCTGCAATCAGTATGAAATTATATACAATACAGTGTGGAATGATGTTGATTAACTGTTAAATTGTTACCATCTAACTATTCATATTGCTCACTAATTATCTGGAGACCTGGGAGGCACCCCTGACCTTTCCTTCTCACCTCCTCTAAACTTCAGTTTTCTTGTCTGTGCAAAGGGGGTATTAATAAGGGTACCACACGGGGCTGCTCTCAGAGCTAACTAGGAGAAAAGTGGGAGTGATCCAGGCCCTTTCTCTCCGCCCCCCTTACACCGTCTGGATGCTAACCCGCGGGGGCAGAGCCGCGGGAAAGCAGGGGAGCACGGCACGGGGAGCCTGCTCCTGGGCTGCAGCCTCAGCTTCACCACATCTAGCTCAGTGACGACAGTCCTGAGGCTGACTTCGTACCGAGCTGGCCAATCCTCACCCCAACTCTGGTCAAACACGGCCTCTCCAGCATGGGCTTACTTCCCTTCACTGAGACTTTATTTCTCCGGCTATAACATGGAGGCATTAACATGTAAGGCACCCCACAAAGGTGTGAGAACCTTGTCAAGTGCCTAATTTATCATCACTGTCTTGCAGCAAACATTTATCAAGTGCTTACTGTGGGGCTGTGACGTATGCAATGAGGGTTTAACAAAAGCTCCGACCCAGTGTCCCTGACCTGTGTTGCTCAGTGGTTAGAGCATCGTCCCAAGCACCAAAGGGTTGTGGGTTCAATTCCTGGTCAGGGTACATACCCAGATTGCAGGTTCGGGCACTGTGCATTTGGCAACCAATCGATGTTTTTCTCTCACATACATGTTTTTCTCTCTTTCTTTCTCTTTCTCTCTCTTCCTCTCTTGGAATCAATGAAAAAAATGTCCTCGGGTGAGGATGAAAAGAAAGCTCTGACCCAGTGTACCCCTGCTGTGTGCATCCAGTCACGCAAACACACATCTGGGATGGCTTGCTAGGAGTTCTGGAAACACCCATTCCATCGGATGCACAAGGGTATTTTTCTGAGAGAAGAGTCCATATCTTTCATCAGATTACCAAAGGCAACTGAGAACCAAAAACGGGAGACAAATTATAATAAAATGTGATGCCAAGGACCTGAATGAGGGAACTGGGAAGGTCCCCTTGAGGGCACAGCCAGGCCCCCATTCCTGGGAGCCATCTTTGCAGCCTGGCTCACTCTCCGCATTCAATCCACCAGCCCCCCGTGGAAGCTGCCGTATATCCAGCATCTGACCACTTCTCACCACCTGCCCCTACCACTCTGGTTCAGGCCCCTTACTGGCCTCCCGCTCCTGCCCTCCTCCCTGCAGTCTGCTCTCCCCGCTCCAGCCAGGGGGTCCTGTGGAAGGTAAGTTGAACTGTACTCTTCCACACAGGTGCCCACGGCCTCCAGGCCCTGCACACTGGGCCTCCGCTCGCAGCTCTGAGCCACCTCCCACCACCCCACTGCTGCACCCTCAAAACCCAGCACGCTCCCACCTCAGGGCTGTGAGTCACCGTTCCTTCGGCCTAGAGTGCTCTTCTTCCAGGGAAAACCCAGCCTCCTCCCCTCCTCCGGGCTGGCCTCCGATGTACTTTCTCAGGGAGGGCGTGAGAAGCTGTGCGCACACCCCCACTCCCAGCCCCCTGACTTGATCCCTGTGTGATCGCATTCCTTACGCCTTCCATTACTTGGGCTGTCCCCTGCACTAGAATGAAATTCCACAAAGGCAGGAACTGTGCCTGTGTTTGGCCACTTGTGTGTTCCAAGCCCCTGGGACAGTACAGCACACAACAGGCACTCACTACATACTGATTAATAAATAAGGAGACATTTGGACTGAGATTTTAAAGTTGAAAGGTTTTCTGGGCAACGAGAAAAGGAACAGGCATTCCAAGCAGAAGGATCAATTTGGGCAAGGGTTTGAGGGCCTGAAAAAGCCTGAACTGCTCACGGCCAGAAGTTGGGTTTGACTAGGGTGATGGGTGCCAAGGCGAAGGGTCCGGGCGTTCGGCCCTGACGCAGAGGCAGAGCCTCACCGCCACAATTTTATTCTTATCATCTGAATCCATCCCCAGTGCTGGCCCCAGACGGTGCGGGGTTTTATCAATGGCCAAATCATTCACTCTCTCTGGGGGAAAAGAAATGGAATTGGAAAGAAACACCAAGAATGTTTAAAGGAGCCGGCAGAGTCTGTATTTCAGAAAT